GTAATGCAGATTATAACAAAATATTCAGAATGTTTATAACTTACTGTAATGCAGATTATAACAAAATATTCAGAATATTTATAACTTACTATAATGCAGATTATAACAAAATATTCATAATTTTCATAACTTACTTAGTGCAGATTAAAACAAAATATTGAGAATGTTTATAACTTACTATAATGCAGATTATAACAAAATATTGAGAATATTTATAACTTACAATAATGCAGATTATAACAAAATATTGAGAATGTTTATAACTTACTGTAATGCAGATTATAACAAAATATTCAGAATGTTTATAACTTACTTAATGCAGATTATAACAAAATATTGAGAATGTTTATAACTTACTGTAATGCAGATTATAACAAAATATTGAGAATATTTATAACTTACTATAATGCAGATTATAACAAACTATTCAGAATTTTCATAACTTACTTAGTGCAGATTAAAACAAAATATTCACAATGTTCCTTACTTACTATAATGCACATTAGAATTAAATATTCAGAATCTCTGATACGGTACATTATCTCTTCTCACATAAATAGTTATTTTCGTTCAGTGCTGCCCTCTATATGCACCAACATTTTTTGCACATGCCACAAGCTTTAAAACTACCATCCATGAGGAATTGACTAATTCCAGTGCATCTCACATGCAAATTATCATGCAACAACCCTCAAACAATAAGAGCACGGCACACTCTCTTGATACGTATGACTCCCTCTATTCAATTCTACTGAAGTATCACTTCTTGTTTCGCAGTACTCATGTTATAAAATTTAGTTAAATGTTTTATTTAAATTTTTTTCTGTCTCTTTGTATTAATTTCTCTCAACAAGTTTACTCTTTATTATACATTAGTGATATATATAACTTGTTGAGTTATTCCAACATGAAATTATTTTATATATATATATATCCGGTTACGGAACTTATTACTATATTAGAAAAACTTTTCATTTGTTTCCGCCAACACAGTTGTGTTTGGTTATTCATTTTGTATTATGAATTCTATGTTACCACTTTGGAGGTTATATGTTCTATTAGCAAATTTACACAGGCTTTAGGTTGTGTTACTTCATAGGAAGATTTTCGGCTTTACTTTTTCATTCATTGGTGGATTGATGGTCCAATGTACTGACTTTCATCGGGTCTCACCTCAAGTTTGGGGTTTCACACATTTGAAATACAGTCTGCCAACTTTGGAAAGATAATATGTTCTACTGTTATGTTTTTTAATTATTTTATGTTGATATTATTATCTATAGTTATTTGGGTTCCATAAAATAAGTTTCATTGTCAAGTTCAGGTTAGCAGTTAGTCTTAGTTGTATCTTTTCTTGTATACTATTCACTTAGGCTTACCATTGTCTTTGTTATTGTAAGATTACCTGTAATTCATCTTACTGGTATATCAATCATTAGTTTAACTATATTGTTTCTTCTTCCTCTTCATTTGGTTTGTGTGAAACCCTTGAGCCAGGGTCCACGCAAACTTCTCCCAATATTGTACATACTTATTGTATGGTTAAGTTTTTATTTTAATGCTTAGTGATGTCTTTATTCTGTACTGTTTGATTAGGCTTCACAATTATTTTTTATTTTCAGTTTACCTGTAGTTCTGCCTCCGGTTTAATCTGTAATTAAGCTCAATATATTGTTTGATTAGGTTTAATAAGTGTCTGTTATTTTTGGTTTACCCATGGTTCTATTTACGGGTTAATCGATAAATAGGTTAAATATCGTTTCTTCAACACATATACTTCACATACATATGTTTATTTCACTGCAAAATTTCTTAACATTTCTACTATATTGACTATTTCATTTTCATATTTCTTTATAGTTTATACTTCTTACCATTAATTTCGTTTGTGAGGTCCCCTGAGGACTGGGGTCCACCCTACCTGCCCCCAATGTTCCTTGCCTTCCTCTTATAATGGCTGAACCTATTTTCAGACAGCCAAGATTTTGTCAGTTTTCCTCCATCTTATCATAAACTGCCTTCCAGGCCTCTACTGTAGAATATGCTAGGCCTGTCTCAGTTTTTTTTAGATACGTTTCACAGTATATTCCCCTTCTCATAACGTTTCATAATTATCTTTTTGTCTCTCTTTTGAGAGTGGGTACTTGCAATCCTTGCTCTATACAGGCTTTAATTCTTTTTTGCATTAGTTTACCATCAGGTACATTTTCTTCTTGATTTTATGTCATTCGCATTTCTGTTAATCCTATCCATTTTATTTCACTTAGTTTTTTTTAGCTTCATTTTACCCTATTGACTCCCCTACAGTTAATGCTTACTTTCCACCTCCTTTATTTGGTGTTCCACTTATATTTAGAAATTTCTGTGGGATACCTCCTTCTTCTCTCCATATCAGTGTGTTTGCCATCTTCTGTTCGTTCCCTCTACATGTGGCTTCTTTGTTTTTAGGATCTTCTAGAGTAGGACATTGTTTTTTTTTACCATCCACTGCTGATAGGGTCTTACAGTGAGTTCTTTTTCTCCACCAGTCCATTTTTTTGGGGCTACTCCTGTACAGTTAGCATCACATGGGGTATCTGTGATGCTATATTAAATTTCTTTGAGTTGCTCTTTTGTTTAATTTTGAGATACTGTAATCTTTATTCCTTTTATATGTTTGGCACCTGCCCATCCTCTACCTGTCTTACCTATGGGTTTTCTTCATCCATCTTGTTTGCTCAATGCTGATTGTGGTTCTGGATTGATTGGTCCCACCTCAATCATTCCTTGGTTCTTCCCCATTTTAATATGTAGTTCTTGATCATATTTGGGTAGGCTGTTCTGCATGACTGCGAATGTACACAGTACACATTCTTATCTTTGGTTTTTTCATCACGTGATTTGATACCAGTTTCATGCATTGACATTTGGACTTGTTTTAGTTCCATATGTGTTTTGTGGGGCAGTCTGCCTTCTTACCTGACTTCCACATTTTGGGGGATATTACCTACACCATTCATTGGATGTCTAGCTTCAGTTAGCTCCTTCCAAAAGAGGGTTGTCTTAACATACTTTTCTACTCCTTCCACAGTTGGATTGGGTAGTTGCATTTTCCATTTGGATAAGTTTTTCCTGTTACATATCTCTTATACAAGTCCCTTTGGAGTGTGTATTTTTAAACACCCCTTCCATCAGAACCATCCATTCTTCTCCTCGATTGCATTTGAAGGTGTTCTTTGTTATCCGAGCCTTTACTTTGGGTTTTCTTCTTAATTTTCATCCTTCCCTCTTTGTTTATATGCTTTGATAGTTGAACCCCCCCCCCCTACAATGTCGGGTTTATAACTTCCTCCCCCTCTTCTGAATTGTTTCTCTTCCCTGATGTTCATTTCCAAAGGTGGGGGGTGTGATTCTATAAGTATGAGGCTTCAGGATAATGGTCTACAAGGGTCTTATCCCCTTCACACCCAGGCACTTCTGCCAGTTCAAGGTGCTTTAGTTCACACCCTTGCTTTTGTCTGGCTTGACTAACCCAATTTCTTTTCAACTTTTTGACAGTGGTGGTTTATCTCATTCGCCAAGGGGACATTTTTTCTTGTTCCCTTTGAGGTATACAGTGGATTTCCTTTTTTTATTTGAACTGACACATTTGACATACGTCTCCTGGAGGGTCGTGTTCCAGGTGCTTTGTCCTCAATGCTAATTGACTTTTCAGTCCAGTGACCTCTCTATCCTCCCTAATTTTTGTTGTCTCTGTCTCATGTGTGGTACCCTTGTATGTGAAGTTTTTGAATCTTTTATCACTTCCCAGTTAGTTACTTCTGTAGTTTTTGGTCTCTAGTTCATCATCCACTTGCTCTGGATGTTGTTAAGTTAAAACATATTTACATTACTTTTTTTTTCTCATTCCATCAGTCTTCTTCCCCAAATTTTTGTGCATCCTTGTCACTCTGGTTCAGGTCTTCTTATTGATATTTCTGGATTGGCACTGCTTTGGTTTTCTCAGCTGTTTTGGCTCAACTTGTTTCATTTGTTCTGGATCACTTTTGTTAGCTTACAATTTAGTGGCTCATGTGGTATATTTCTTTCAATTTTTCATTTCTTACTATATTCCACATTTCTTCTCTGTGGGATCCAGATGACCTTCTCTGTCTAGTACCTGTTATGGGTTGCTTCATTATTTTCAATGTTTCTTTTTGTTGAATCCATTTCGCATGTTTCCTTTCCTTACTCCACTTCTTTGTTTGTGAATTTTTTTCCCTTCCTTCCTTACCCATTGGGTTTGAATTGTGATTTGATTGACTTTTGATTCAGTGTATCCTTCTTCTCATCATCACTTCCTAGTGTCTTCACTGTGATCATGCACCTTCTCTTTTCCCTGCATATCTACTCTGCCATCCATTGAAGGTACTTCATATGTCGAGCACTGGATCTACATCTCATACCTTCATCACCCATTTTCTGTTTTGGGTAGCTGTTTCTTCCTTGTTTGGGTACCTTCATCCACCTGTTGCCATCCTTCACTCATTCGTGAGACTGTGACTGGGTAAGTTACCTTTTAGTATATATACCTCTTCTTTTTAGGGGCCTGTCCCTCTTTTTATTTGTGGATCCTGCTCTGTGGCAAGTTGTGCCTGACCAGGCATTCTTTAACCATTCAAATCTGCACTGTAAGACCGTGTCGACTTGCATATTATGATTCCATGGCCACACAATGCACACTGCGTAGGTGGAGTGTTCCACAAGATCGCTTGTAGGTTTCTCCTCACGATAAGTTTGCCCGTCCAAGACCATACTCACCATGGATTACATGAGTAAAGCAGAAGAGAATAGCTGCCCATCCCTGCTATGCCTTGTATTGAATAAATCGGTATGGTCTGATTTTCAAAATAGGATTTTGTGGTCACCCATTGAACTGTCTCAGATGTTGTTATTCCTCCTGACTCTCCACCATGCTTTCTCCCCCTTTTCTTCTAGTGGAGTTTTAAAGTCCTTACCACTTTCCAGTTTCAAGCATCTGTGGTGGTGGACCATGGAAGCATCCTCCTGAATGTGTGAGGGAAATACAAATAATATATATAAATGATTATAAAACTGTTCAGTTGAGAGTAGAGTGGTGGTGTTCTCCTGGTGTAATATGGGAGTTAGCCTTCAAAATTGCAGTTCACCCCTTCAGTTGGGATCCCTCATTCTTCCCTCATGTGGATGTCAGTTCCCAGTGGTTGGGTTTTAGATTTAGAGCTGAACCAATCAACATAAGACTTCACACATGTATCACAGATGTCTATTCCCCTCACTCATTTATATTCTTGTTACTCCATCCATGTTGTGGATCATGGTGGAGTTACTTGTAGATTACTATGGTCCTTCCATTTCTGCTGTCCCTCAATGCTTATTATTCTGAGTATGTTACTGATCTTGGGGCAGTTCCAGTCATTATATATTTCAGTAAGATGGTTTACATTATATAGACATCTTTTTGATGATGGATGCGGGTTCCCAGATCGATCTTTCAATTTTTCACATTGTTATCATGTGCTCATTCATAGATCAGGGGGTACGAGATTCTCTCCAGTCTCATGAACTTGAGGTGAAGATAGTATGACCCCATTTTCCACCCCCATGTGGGTGTTGATTCCTGGTGGCCTGGGTTTTGGACTGTAGTTGACTTGCTGGTGGTATGATCCTCTTTCCTACTCCCACATGGATGTCAGTACCCAGTGGCCAGGTTTTGGATTGTAGTTGATTTACAGATGATATGATCCTCATCCTACCCCATTGTGAATGTTGGTTCCCAGTGGCATGGGTTTTGGATGTACTTGACTTACCTTGTATGGTCTGTCATGCCCTAGCGACTCTACACCTAGGGGCACATCATTTAATCCTACTCAATCTTATATTTTCCCGGGATTGAATTTAATAAATAATGTATGAATTAGATCACTATCCTGCCTGTTATCTCCCATTTGGATGTGCTCCTCCATCTTTCCACCCATATATGTGACATCTTTCCACAATGGGCGAAAAGTATACCTGGTTCAGAAGTGGTGCGGTCTCCGATGTAAGATCTTTGACTCCAAAGATCTCCTTTTGGGGAGTGTCCTTCAGACACTATTGAAGGATGCTTCTTTCTTTCCTTTGCACCAGTCCCTCCACCTATTCAGTGTGGTATATTAGCTATTTATATGAGAGGAGGTAATGTACTATGTCAGAAGTTATAATTTTCCTATACTGAAAATGTATTTCTGATAGGTACTTATTCCTCCCCTCTGAAAACCAATGCTTCCATTTTCTGAACAAGACTAGCTATTTATGTGAGAGGAGGTAAGTATCTATCGGAAATACATTTTTAGTATAGGAAAATTATAACTTTCAAAACTTACTATAATGCAGATTAAGAAGAGTAAAATATTGACAAGTGCACAGAAGACTGACTGTGACACATCAAATATTACTTTGTTCTAGAAAAATCACACCAATATGGTTTGTAAAAATAATGAGGACAGTCTATGTTTTAAAGTTTCTTCAGTAAATGAAATTACATAAGGAAAATGTTTGCATTAGTTAAAACTACTCTTCAAATTTATGTTCAAAACACAAAAATGCAGTACAGTCTCACAATAAAACAAGTTTATAGAATTAGTTAAAAAATTAATTGATAATTTCATCTTATTTAAGTTTTAATATTTATGACAGGCATTTGAAAAATATTTATTCTTGATTACTGTGGTAATTTATATTTTATAATAGTTTCCTTGTAATAGGACCAAACAATACATTTCTTTAACAGTTTAAGTATGGTTTTGGTTAACTTACTTGAGATTGTTAGACAGCCTCCACTAGATCTTGTTTCAGTTTATTCTTCTAGTAATTTAGACACATTATGAATTGCTTAACATGTGCCAACATAAGGTCTTGTTTAAACATATTTAATCACTACTTTATGTAAACCATGTACTGCAGTTTGGTACAAAGAGATTTTCATCTTTGGGCAATGAACTTTTCCATTGTTGCTCCCAATGTGATTCTTTCAGTTCAGGATAGAGTATGTGTTGATATGAAAACTGGATTTTCCAAATGTGTTCTGTGTGCAAGTTAATTACAAGGTTTGTGTATTTTAAACTTATAGGAGAAACATTGATATCTAAAACCAATAACATTTATTCTGATAATTGAAGAACTTTGCCTAATTAATTGTTTTATTTTTTAATCAAGTTTAATAGTATACTTAACAAACTAGAAAATATGTTGTACCAAATATATGTTAAGGCTAGATAATGTTGGTTGTTAATATATTTGAATGGTTGAGATTGAGATAATGTCATTCAGTAGTTAAAGTTTTATTATAAAATAATCATAATAGAATTTTTTGGCTCATTTTATACAGAATGGAATTCTAGTATACCTGGAACAAAAACGGAGAGATGATGATGAAGATGTGAGCTCAGCTGCTAACCACATATATATGCTTCACTTAAAGATTATCATTGCACTGAATTTTATAGACACTAACTCGGCTGCTTTAAAAATACATTATTTAACCTTAAGAATTCTCAACAAAAAGTTTGGACACCAAGACATGAACTTTAAATAAAGAACTTTAAAGACATTCTTTAATTGACAATTATCATCAAGGGTGTTACTGTTTAGACATCAAGACATAAACTCAGTTCTTCATACTGACTATTATCACCAAGAATCTTTGAACATCAAGATATGATACATACTTATACTGTCCCTTCTTCTGTGTGACTTATTGCACTTGCAACAGAAGGTTACATATAGTTCCAATATGATACACATCTACTCTCACACAAAAGCTTTTCTCGATCTTCTTCTGCCCTCTAATACATTTAAAAAAAATTTTCTTGCTTAGTCACTAGCCTTTATACCCCTCAGTTCAAGCTGCTTATTTAACATGTATAGTGCATGCGACAGCCCTCCACCAATAGGAGCATGACACACACACTTCCAGAGCAGCTGGCTCCCTCTGTATTACATTTCGTGTACTTCAATTTCTTGATTGACATTATATGAGTTGGACATGTTTCTCACTTAATTTCAGTTTTCAGTACTGTGTTACACTTGCTTTTTTTTAATGTGTGTGTGTTCATTCTATCTTGCATTATGTCGTGATACAGATTTTGATTTTGTGTTTTATACACGTTATTGTGTTTTCAAAATTTGATGTTTCTTGTGGTTCCCAACATGGTTACAGTTTTTTCTGGGAGCACATTTACTTTTCTTATCCAGGTCTTGGGATCAACATTGTCTGTTGAGGGGGTACATGCCTTAGTTTATAGAGTGTTCACTTCTTCCATGTGGTCTGAACCTTGTTCATCATGATGGTCAAAGTGTATTTCAACTTTTCTGTATGTTTGAGATGCAATTGATTTCACTTAGTTTTATTTTTTTTTATCCAGTTACCATGGAGGTTTATTCTATTCTCCTCCTATTACTTCCAGCTTCCCCAGTGACTTGATGGTAAGTATTTCGACTTGTATACTACAAACCGGGTTGCTATACCCATGGTTGGCTTTGTCATTATTTCCACACTTGTGCATTAAGCATTTCATATAATTCAGTGTTATGAATTTGGTAAGTTGGATATTTCTATGTACTTTGTTGTCTATGTCGATTTTTGATGCATTGTTGGTTAGATTTTACTTGGTACTTTGTTTTCTTGGTATATTTAGGCAGTTTGTAAGTTCCATATAATTAATTCCTTTGTTGAATAGATACATTTTGATGGTATTTCAGTTTGTTATTAATAAATACTTTGTTCAATAGGTATGTTTAGCTGGTTTATAAGTGAAATGTCATTAATACTAACTTATGGTTATCTTTGAATCATTATTTTTTAATCATTGTTAAATATATGACTTATAATCCTTATCTTAGTAAGTTTCTGAGGTTTTTTTTGTTTTGTTTTTCATTGTTACATCACCGACATGTTTGTTTATTTACGTGTCATAGGACTGAGCATTGCTCAAGCTCCAATTCCTTATTTTTTGATGTAGCCAAACCTCCCAGATCTGCCAATCATTTATGTATGACTATAATATGACTACCCGGAATCTGGAAAAGTCCAACATCTGGCAAGGCTTAGGTCTAAAAGTTGCTGGATTTCGGAGGGTGACTAACAATTTTTCTCCACATAATATACATTTAGGGGTTTGTTCCCACATCATAGTTAGTTCTTTCTCCCTAGCATTTAGTTAATACTTGTATTGTCTTGTTGTTTTCCCGCTCCCTTTACATGTTTTGTAGCAATTTCATGAACACAATGTTGTTTTGTATTTTAATGCTAGTGTTGTTTTCCTAGGTTCCTTCACTCGTTTTTATCTCACTTGGGTTCGTGTGCGTTGCCCCTCCCCTGGAATTTCTATCTCCATGCCTTTGCCTTTCAGGGTGTGGCTGCCCTTTCCCTACTTCCCAGGCTTATTTGGTGTTGGGTTTTGTTGGAATGAAATACGCTACTTTCAGGGGTTCATCTCCCCATATTGTCCCTCTGGGAAATCAAACAGGCTCTGTTTTTGCATAATACAGATTTTGGCAGCTGTTTTGCTTCTTTTGGGTCCCATATCAAGGTGTCCATCTTGCTTACTTCCCTTCAGTCTTTTACTTGCATCTCGACTTTCACACCCCTTTTATCCATTTTTCCTGTTCCATCATGGAAGTCAACAGCAATATGGGTCTCTGCATGGTGGGTTTAAATTCTGTGGGGACTGGGTTTCTCTGTTTTGTCGACTTTTAAGAGATCTTTATTTCTGTTACATGGTTTCTCTGGGTTTTTTCAGAGTGTGAATCACTTCACTTCCAGTGATTATCTTCCTGATTATTGTTTACCATTCTTTTACTTCTTTCAAAGAATCCTTAATCATGCAATTGGCTGTCCACTGTTGGGTGAGACCTCTTACTGGGAGTTTTAATGCCAGTTTTTCCAGTTTGGCTGGGGTTTTTCCTCTCAGCCTTTAGTTGTCCCCTCCTTGGCTGATGTATGGAGACTTGTCATAGACTTCTCCTGTCTTTGTCAGCCTCTGGTTCTTCTTCATTCCACCAGGATGTTGTTTCTGTCACTTCATTGGGCTTTCACACCTTGTCTGTGGGTGTCCTTGTTTCCCTCAGATCCTTTCTGTGTTTTTGTAAGTAGTCACAAACTTCACTGGATATCTACCAGTGTGAGTCATCCAATCTCATCTTTCTCAGGACAACTGGTTTCCAGCGTCTTTCTGTCTTGATTGATGGCACCTCTGCTTGGATCCCTTGGTTCATCTGGTCGTATTTCATTATTTTCATTGGACTGAATCTGTTTGGTGATGGGGCAATGGCCATCCTATGGCTGGTGTTCTTCTTCTACCTCCTCAGGTCTTCCGTCTTTCACCGATGCTTGTCTTGTAGGTGGTAGTACATATCTCAGTACCTTGGATATTTCCAGATATTGGGCTTTGGTGAATCTGTGCTTCATTTCTTAGTTTTGGCAATCTTCATTGTGCGTAGAGCTTTATCTCTTATCTTCCATCTTTTATGAAAGAAGGTGGTTTTCATGCATTCTGCCAACTTCTATGTGGTCTTCTACAAGCAGGTGGGGCCTAATTCTGGTTCCTTTCTTTTTGTATCTGGGGTTACAACTTTTGGGTCTGCATACACAGGATACTGTTCTTGGTTTGCCATCTTATCAGTGTTTTGAATCTAGTTGCAGATTGGTTGTACCACCCGCACGTGATCATTCCCATAGAGTGGTACCTCCATCCTCCAGTTGTCTGGTGGTTATGCTCTTGTCTGGGCATTCAGTACATAGATGCATTTGCTAACCATCTGGGTGATGTCCTGCCATCTTTCTGGTCTTCATTTCCTTGGCCTCTAGCTTTGGGTTGGTCTACCCTTTTTTCTAGTATGGAGGGGCCTTCCATTTTATGCCTTCTTTCCTATACATCTCCTCCCCTAACATATTTCCTTCATCCACACCTCTCTCTGGATGGCTCAGTTTGACTGGCTCAGCCTTGGTTTCCCATCCAGAGACCTCCACTGCCTGTTAGAGAGACTCTGCTTTCACACCCTTCTCCATCCCATCCTTTTCCCATATTTGTTCCCAGTCAGTTCTGGATTGCATTCTGTTTCCTGTGCAGGTTATGTGGTGCTATGTTTCTCAAATGGCTTATTTTCATGGTCCTTGTTCCCCTTTGTTTCTTCCCTGGAGCCACTTGTTGTTTCATGACCTTCCCTCATCACCCTTACAGTTTGCTTACTCTTCCCTCTCTTCCATAGGTTGTCATCTTTATCATGTCCCCTCTCATCTGTTTCAACACATCACCATTTCTTTGGTGACTCATTTTTTTATCCTCTGGAGGAGATTGTTCAGGCCAAAATTCCTCATAAATTTGTCTGTCATTACCTGCTCCATCTGGTGGATATCATTTCCTTCCAGTGACAATTCCCCATGCTCCGGTTCGACTCTGTTTTGAGTAAGTGTAATTTTTTTCTGCTATTTGTTTCCAGGGGCTTCTCCTTGTGTTTTTATTACATATTCAGATCCCACTCAGTGGTTAGTATTGCCTGGTCAGGTATGTTCTACTTTAAAAACAAAAAGTAAAAACAGCACTTGCTCCCATTAAGGTTGTAACACACACTTTTCAGATGGGGTGTTCCACAAGACCACTAATGGCTTACCTAGTGTTATACATACTTATGTATAATTCTATTACGTACTTGGCAGACCATCACTCATGTACCATCATAAGTAAAGCAAAAAGGGTTTTCTGCCCAGCCCTTGATTGGATAAATTGGGGGTGATCTGCTTTTCAAAATAGGGTTTTGTGGTCACCCATTGTACTTTCTCTGGTGGGTCATTCTTTTAGACTCCCTACTGCCTTTTACCTTCCCTTCCTCTAGTGGAGTTTGGGAGTCCATACCACTTTCCAGTTCCTAGCCACTGGGGTTCTGGATCATGGAGGCTTCTTCTGGAGTGTAGCATACATATACTAACATTATTTATCTCTATACTCTCTTGAGAAGAGGGCAAAGCTATAAACCCTCACTTCTTCTCCCTCCTGGGTTATTGTTCTTGGAGGTCTGATGTAGGATGGAGCTAGACCAGCCACCACTGGTTTTATAGTGCCCTGTTGAGACTGGTAGATGCCCTGTCTCAGTAATTCCGATTGCAGGATGGATTTTTCCTGCTCTTACAATTGAGCTCGGGGAACTTCATCTGCCTCATAATGTTGGTTGTAGGATGTATGATACCCTGTTCTTAGAGTTGAGCAGACATTACACATTGTACTCGTAATACTGGGTGCACATGGTTATCTTCCCTGCTCTTATGGTTTAGTGGATCTTGTTCTTTTCCTGTTCATAATACCGGATAAAGAATGAATTCCTGTTTTTAGAGTTGATTTGAAATTCACACACTGCCCCATAATTCCGGGTTCATTATGGTGTACTTCTTGCCTCCTATGGTTGATGTGGGTTGGTCCAGTCATTGCCATTTGCTTACTTCCTCATAATTACGTTTGCTTGCAGTATAGCAGGAGTTTACTTGTGTGGGGCTCATGTATATATATATATATTGTTCATGATTTGCTCACCATAGCCACATTACATTGTACATACTCATTTGATTCTTCAGCACTGTATTCCATCTTGTAATATAAAGGATGGGTAGTGGAACCTCATCTGTCCTGTTAGGGTTGAGGAGATTCTTGCTCCAATGTTTTCAGAGGTCTTTCTTTTATGGTTTGGTTCTTGATGCCACCTGTTTTAAGGCACTTCACTTCTTCAAGGGCGAAGGGCATACCTGTTCCAGAAGTGGTGCAGTCCCCCTCATGTGTGCTTTTGTTCAATTACCAAGCATACTTGTTCAATTTCCCATGAATGCTTTCCATGGGGAGTCTCTTACTTCTATGCTACACCAGTCCCTCCACCTATTCCATGTGGAGGTTAGGTGTATTGTATTGGAAGTTATCATTTTCTTACATTGAAAATAGATTTCCGATAGACACCTCCTCTCATACACTTCCTACCTTTCCTCCCACTTCTTTTGTTTTTCTATTATCTGATGTGCTAATCTCAAAGTGAGGTACACGAAATCTAATATAGAGGGAGCCAGCTGCTTCTCATATTGATGGAGAGTTGTCTCATGGGCTATGCAAGCTGACTGAGCAGCTCGAACTGAGGGTGTATAAAGGCTAGTGAGTCAAGGAAGAATAAATTTCTTTTCAATGCATTAGAGGGAAGATGAAGATTGGGGAAAGCTGTTGTGTGAGATGAGGTAGGTATCTATCAGAAATCTATTGTCATTGTAGCAAAATGATAATATAAAAACATTCAAATTAACCAAGAATGTTTAGACACCAAGATGTGAACTCAGTAAATTCTGGTTCATTATAAAAACAACTGCACAATAGTTTTATATTCTTATAGAAAAGTGGGGCATTTATTTTTTATCTGATTGCACCAATAGGTCATTGTGTTGTGTTATACATAGTGGAACCTTATCTAATAAGCTTATTGTCTGTTTATGTAACCAGAAATTCAATACATGGAATAAAAATAAGTACTTACATGAGATTCTAGTTGTTTTCTCTCTGAAATTTAACACACAAATTTTAACAGAGAAACAAAAAATTATATGATTAAAATACACACAGATGACTTTACCTCAAAGTAAAATACTTTCTGGCAAAATTTTAATGTCACGGCAAGATGGAATTAATATAAAAATTAAGCCTAACAAAATTAGCTGAAAGCTTTTTGAGTCACAGTTTCTTTTGATTTCAACCTTATTTAAAGGGCTTTATTATTTTCTCACCCTTGATTAGCTTGTCTTTCACTCTTCTGCATTTCAGTTTTTCTTACTCCAAATTCTATTTGCAATTTGTTTCCCCACTTTTTCTTATTCTTCTTCGAACTGATGGTGATTTTTCTTTCTCTGCTTTGCTCTATCATGTCCTGATGTGCACTAATGGTGGTTCTCCTGTTGTCCTTCTCTCACTTTCTGACTCATTTTTCTTTTTCTGTTATCCTTTTCTTCTAATTTTGACCTTGCCTATTCCTATCTTTGTAACTGACCTCTCAGTGGTTTAACCTTTGAAATCTTGTAATAATTAAACATAAAGCATTAGCTCCAAGGAAACGATATGTCCTTCATTAAAACTTCATCATAGTTACATGTATTACTTTCTTTGGTATATTACTTTTGATACATACACTTTCCATCACTCCTAACTGCTGATTTCAGTGCTCCCTAAAGGTTAGTAGATACATTTACAATTTCTGCAAAGAATTGAAATCAACATGCATATGTTGCATTCATCCCATACCAAATATCTTTCGAGTAGCTTATTTTGATTTTGTTGGTGTTCAGCCACCTGGACAATCAACTGGAATACCAAACTAGAACTTGTTCTCCTGAGCATTCATTAACAGGTAATGTAGGTATTATTTTTGGTAACTGATTATGTCCTTCAAATATGATTGGTGAAAACTCAGAAATGGTGCTTCATCTAGCTGCTCCTGTACCTCCAACAACAGTCACCATAGAAACTAGACACTTTTTTATAGTATCTCTCCCACCCTAACAATATTCACTGTAGAAACTGGACAATTTCTTCATAATTTTAACCTAACAGCTAACTGTTGTGCCCCAATAATAGTCACTGTAGGTATTTAACACTCTTTATAAAATTAACCTAATGGCTCACTCCTGTACTCCAATAATATTCACTATAGAAACTTAATACTTTCTTCATGATGTTAACCTAATGGCTCATTCATGTGCCTCAATAATAGTCACTATAGAACCTTAACACTTTCTTCATGATGTTACCCTAATGGCTCATTCATGTACCCCAATAATAGTCACTATAGAACCTAACACTTTCTTCATGATGTTACCCTAATGGCTCACTACAGTACCCCAACAATACTCACTATAGATCCTTAACACTTCCTTCATGATGTTAACCTAATGGCTCTGTACAGTTCCCCAATAATAGTCACTATAGAACCTTAACACTTTCTTATGATGTTAACCTAATGGCTCACTCCTTTATCCCAACAATACTCACTATAGAAACAACATCTTCTTCATGATGTTAACCTAATGGCTCCCTACTGTACCCCAACTATACTCAGTATAGAAACTTAACACTTTCTTCATGATGTCAACCTAATGACTCATTACTCCTGAGGCCATGGAAAAGTAGACAAACTCATATGGAATACATTGTGATGCTTAGAAAACTTTTAATTTAATTTTTTGCAAGACTTATCTAATTTTATACCACCTAGAAGTTTTCTAAGGCACTAGAAATGCTATCCCTCCCCACAATGTGATCAGATGTCTGTAATTTGTCTATCACCAACCTTAAGTTAATTAAATTTGTGTTTCTAATTGTTTGTAAACTATAAATGTCTGTTATTGAAGTTATAAATTTTTGATATTGAGAAATTTGAGTTCAGACACATGTGACACAAAGATGTAGATTTGGAGTTTTTTATTCTTAACTTTGTTTAATGTGAACTGAAGTTTGGCACCAGAAATTTCTTTTAAGGTAACAAAATAATGACATATGTCTCCAAAACAGTGGCATAACACAAAATGTTAAGAGGCTCCCTGCAATATGTTGTGATGATGGAGGGCCTAAGTTCATCAGTGCACATGAGATGCCTCTTCTTGTGCCACTTTTTTCAAAATTATGAACTAATAAACTTGTATATCTGGTTTTATTATATGCTTTTTTTTTAAGTATAAGGTCCTCACCTGCCATTCATCACAGAGCAAGTTTCATTTGATTGTGGACATTTGTATTTAACTTTTAACCCAAACAAGCAACAGTTATTTCATAAAATATATATTTTAACTCCTTTTAATTATAATCAATCTCCCCTCCATATGAAATCAAAATCCTGCTCCCCTCAATTAATCAAAATATATGAAGTCATTGGCTGACCCTTTCTTTGGAATTGTTTTCAGTGAAATAGTCTTTGTTTGAAGAACTGATACCTATTTGTTATTGTAAGATTGGTGAATAGTGCATCCTCTTGGATTATGAAACTTGTTTTCCAAAAAAATTTATTTCCATATTGCCATTTTTTTTGTTTTTTGCACAAACTCTTCTTAAGGCTGTCACATCTAATCATTTAGTTTATTCGTACTTTGTGCTTAAGGTTGAAAGTCCTGTCAGTTTCATCTGAGTCATAGAACTTATAAGTAGTTTTTAATCAATTTCAGATTTGTTTTTAACTGCCACAGTACCTAGTGTAATCAAAAAGATTTTTCATGGTGTTGAAATATACAAAAACACTAGGAGAAATACCAGTTAGATCTTTAATTGTAACACCAGCAATCTATTATATTTCATCCTTTGGTGCAATTCTGAATGACAATAGCTATGCAGGAAAATCTGAAGATAAATCCTTTTTTACTGACCTGCTAGGGATTCAGCTTATTTAAAAATTGCATCATAATTTGTACTAAGAATTTCAGAAGGAGACATAAACAAAACCATTGTACCATAGTATTTCTTCCATAGAAATGTTTTAAACAATAATATTAATGTTAACATAAGAAAATGCAGCTACCTTAAAATTTTCCTTGACGTTAGATATTCCTTGTGGAGTTGATCAAATTGTTTTTTGTACCTCACATTTTTTGATAAACTTGGCTTCAATGTCCCAACTAGTTGCAATAGCTATAGTTTCTTCAAACTGCTTCCTAAAGCTTGTAAAGATTTCAGTTGCAGTATTTTATGTTCTAGCAGCTACAAAAAAGTCCATGTTCTTAGAGTGAAACATGTTTACAGTTTTGGTATTTTCAGGTGAAAATACATGTATCAAATAGTTATACCCACTAGTATCAACAGATTCAATCAAGAAATAAGAAGAGCAATCTGTGTTTGATAACTTGATTGAGTTTTAAGTTGTGTGAGTAATAGAAAGATTGGACACATTTGATAGATGATGGAAGTAATCTTTATTTAGACACACACACAAGAATGTATGTACTTGCATAAACAACTGGATGATATCTTTTAGATCTTGTCAGCTGTTTGTCCCTCAAGATGAATCTCTGCTGAACATGTCACAATGAAAACTAAGAACTGAATCAAGAAAGTTCAAAAATGTTATAAAATTCCCTAATTTCAGGAGTGTTGATACAAGCGTCATTCAGTATCAAATATAAAATATATGCAGTACAGTGCACGTAGGTGGTCGTGGATTCTTTTTCACATACTCATTTCTGAAAACCAGAGTAAATACCACTCATGTTACCTTCATTGTATCCTTGACTTCTATATTTTTCAACTGACAAGTCCATGTCTTTCAGTCATTTTCACTATTTTAGCCTTCAGCCTCTTAAGTGGTCAGTGTAAGCTCAACAGAAAAAGTGAATATGTTAAATGTTACCAAAGGTTTATTATAAAAATATTTTTAAATATGCACAACTGCCATCAGATATTGATTCACATGCTTCTGTTAAATGTTGTCTACACCACACTCAGTATATGGAACTACTTCATTTATTGTAATTATTCCTTGTAATAATTTGTTGTTGGTAGAAATAGAATTTTAATTTTTTTTTTGAATGTATTTTGATGAGAATAATGTGGTTTGTATTACCAATATCCTATCTTCATTTTTTCAACATCAGGTCTTTTACTCCACAGGAATTTTCCCTCTAACAGGAACTAGTTTGCCCCTGAAGAAGGTCCACCTTTCTAAAGTGCTCGGGTTATAGGGTTTTTATCATGACTTATTGAACCTAGGTGTTTTTCTGACATCATGAAAGAAACAATAATGTATTGATAGTGCTGTGACAGTAATAATTACATAATTTTTTAAATGCTGAACCAAGAACTATACTGCAATTGCTCTACCAAAATTATGTAGTTCTACAAATTTTTTTGAACCTGTTAGCTTAACCTGTGATAATATGTAGCACAAAGCTGAACAACAACTTGATAATATATTTAATCAACAAAACAGGCTTAGTATGCATTTTACATTTCTTCTAACATGAAAGAACAAACTTACAGATTACAGATAATATTAGTATAAAAAATTGAAGCAAGTGTTCTTATCCTTACTGTGGACATATTACTGTTAGCTGGAACCAAACCACTGAAAACAGAATACACTTGTTTCTTTTTTAACTATATTCAATTATTGCATGCTTGGGCACAGTAAAGATTCTAACACTAGATGTAGGGTGTCGTTAGTTTTCTTTTACTTGCTGAACATACATTGTAAAATGTCTGACTTTACGAGCCAAAACATTTTGTTACAATGGCATACATTTAATTTTTTACATAATGTCTTTCTTCATAATGTTTAATTTAACTGTGAATACTAAGCATAGAATTATTTTTGTAAAGTATCATTAAACTGTAGCTGAAAGTGATTATTTTACTTTACATATAAATAAGGATCTTTTTAAGTGGTCCATTATAACAAGAGATTACAGGGATCAATATAACTTGGAAGAGATATAAAAGTGTCATATTAAAATTACTTAACTCTCAATATTTTGATACTTTATTCATCACAATATTCATGTTGCCTTAAAAGCATCAAAGAAAGAAAGTAATTATTTGCAATTTTAAATGAACCAAAATCCACAATTACATATTGTGAAGAATGAAGTTAGCATTGATTTCTTTCTTTAAGTACAGGAGTCTGTTGACAAATGATCATTATCAAGTACACATTACACACAATAACTTGCATCTTAATACTACTTATAAGTTTCTAAAAACTTAAACTACCATGTAACTCAAGACTCACACGTATAAAAGGTGTTTTTTATTGTTGTTTTTTTTACAGAGTTAAACATGACATCCATTCATACTGAGTTACAGTATGTAAATACTAACTGCTGAGTTAAGTAAGAGCCAGTTTGTACTGTGTGTAAGACAGCTGTCCGTTTAGTTTACTGTCTACCAGTGATAGATACTTATGTTAATAATGGGTTGGGTATTGCAGTATTATAATTAATACCAGTTGTTTACACAAACTGCCACTTGTGTTTTGTGCTATGTATCAATAAACAGGAATCCTTAATGTCTCTTTATTGAAATTAACCTAATGAAGACAATTTAATGCCTAAATGGGGAGAGTCTTCACACTAGGAGGAATTGCTACCACATGAGTACTTGGTTGAGAGACAAAAAAAAATATTTTAAATTTTCTAGCCAATATCGATGATGCAAAGAGGATAGGTTTGTAACATATTCCCAGTCACTTTTCGTAGTTTTTACTTAGTAGTAGCTAGTAGAACAACTCACACTACACAACCATCAACAAGAATCATTTTCTATTTTATTTTATCAAGTACATGCCACAACTTTGGAATTTTCCACTAGCTAGAGAGAAAATCTTCAAAAAGATGTTTTCAAACAAGGCCATCGGTAGAAAGTGCTCCGGCTAATAAGTCTCTCCAGAAATAGGCCTAAATATATGTATATATAAAAAAATAGTATTTATAGTTACCATTTCTGTTGTAAACCAGACACAGTCATCAAGAAAAATTAACAATATTGTAAAATGAAAGTTTATTCTAAAATAACATCTATAAGATTCTGAAATTTAATTTCCTTCAGAGGTTTCTCACAAAAGCTAATCTTAATCACTACAATTTTAGATTAAAGTAAGTATCTTAATTACACTAGATAGCCATATGTAGGTTTTTTTAATGGTCACTATACTTGAAAGTAGGTATTTATTAGGGTATGTGTAGAACAATGAAATTCAAATAGGAAACAGAGAAAACATTTAATCATAAAAATTAAAACAAATTGCAAGTAAATGAGCAAAAGTATGCATTACATTAATTAAGTGCAATTGCATGCTATCATAAATAAAATATTTTGTGCAAAACAAATTTGAGTTTTGCCAAACTGAAGTAATTACTTTTTATTGTTTGAAGATACGACTTTTCTCTGAACTTTTCTTAAAGCATTTTTTCCCCTAAAACAATCGTATATACATGTAACAGAAAAAAAAGATCACTTATTTAAACACAACCGGCAGAGTAGGACAAGCTTCAAGAATACTACAGCATGCTTTTATATATGATTTATTCAATGTGTTCAAGATTAATGAAATTAAAGTGAAAGAAGAAAATATTAAGTTGAATTTTTAAACAGTTGTCTAATTGGGAGCATTAGCAATCAATTGGGTTACATCTTTTAACATGTTTGCTGTTTTAGTGCTAGTAGTTGTAGCATATAGTGTAATTTCACAGTTTAAACAAGTATCAAGTAGTCCACAGACTGTATTAATTTAAATTTATATAAGTCATCTACAGAGTTAGGGGTACCACAATATAGTATTGACAGACTTTTTCAGATCAAACAAAAATTGACTAAAATTTTGCATTAAAATTACAAGCATACAATAAGTGTAGGCAAATTGTCCAATGAATCACTGTGAATCAGAACTAGCCACTAAAATATTAAAAGTATGCTAAATATTATGTCATTTCAGACAATGTATTTTACCCCACCAAAAAAAATAAAAGTGCATAAAAATATGATTAATAGACACAAACACCTTTGTAAAGCATTAGCACTGAGTGTAACTTTCATGCATCTTTCTCCATATCCTTGCATGAAGTTAACTACTATTTCACCAAAATACTAGTAGTCATTTTTTAGGACCTGGTCTCTAGCCCAAATTGAAAAGTTGCTTTCTTCTATGTCAGTTCTTGTCTACAATTTGACAGTTTTAAAATAACATATATAAATTACTTGTACGTTATTATACACAGTTTATAGTGTCAAAATTTCTCTTTCGTGATATGCTTTACTTTGTTGCAGTATACAACTTAATTTACTAGCTCATTTTTTCACACTCATAATTTTGTTTGTAATTTTTTAGTTCTCTCAGTTGAGATAATGAATATTTCACTTATTTTGCCATTTTCTTCTTGTAAACTCAATGAAGATAATGGTCATAATACCACTGTAGTAAAATATAGGCCCAGAACAACACAGTTGCCTATCAGAATTATCCAACAAAATAGTTCCAAACCTATCCCACTGTAGAGATAATCTTGGAGGCCTAAATTATTTACTTGTACTCCTTTTGCTGGTAATTATTCCTCCAAAATTATCTCTACAATTGTTGCCCACTTAACCTTTGTTTTGAAAATTTTCCCTTTTTTTGTTATACATTCATTTTTGTACTTGTTCAAATAGCATACAACTAAAGTCTAACTGTAGAGCATGAAGCTAATATTCTTAGATTTAAAGGACTGGCAATATTCATGGATCAGATTGGCATTACCATTTATGGACAAGCTTCACTATAAAGAAAGCTTTTAACAGGGTTTTTCTGACAACTAGTTTTTTTATACAAGTAATTTAAATATTTTTGCAATTAAATGAATGATGGCAGTTTTACACAGTTTACCCATACAATGTAGAAGAATATGAAAGTTTTGGTTTGAGTTATAGGAAATTGTTCATCAGTATAGTTAACAGTTCAGCTTGTTCAGTATACTGAATTTTTAGAAATGTTTTATAACAAAAACTTATTGTATTAAATAATGTCATGATCTTAGGCAATTTTCAAGATTGAATCAAATTCAATGAAATTTCTCACCTTACCATTCTTAAAAATATACAGCACCTCATTAATTTATAAGAATCGTATTCACAGGAAACTGGAAATAACTTTAGTTAAGACAGATACGAACTAAGGCATTTATTTCGTTTGTAGAATTAATCTTATAAGGTATGGTGATATACAGCATACCACTAGTAATATTACATAAAAATACAAAGTATAATTTTTGTTCCCCTCCTACTTCCTCATCTGCATTCGGTTCATATTTTGGACCAGGAAGGGTCTGGTTAAGCGTAGAACTCTTTCTGCTCCAACAATAATGGAACGTTTGTTTGAAAACTCACTTTGCGGTTTAGCTTTTCGCTTCAAATTCCACTGTTCCAGTTAGTGAGATTATAAATATAAGTAACTTTATTTCTTATGTAATATATGATTAAGAATGTAAACGGAAACTTTTTTTCTTGTTTAATGTTAGAATAATATATAAAGCACGACAACTAGAAAAATATTTCATTACATTACCTATTATTCTATAAGACATTATATTTCCGACTATTCCCTTTTCTTGTAATCTTGGAGATTAGTCATAATCCACACAGGTACTGCACATATCAGAGATACCATAACTCCTCCTAAAACCAATTTTTCAGTCAACGAGACGCGATTACGAGGAGGCCCTACTACTATATTGCGTTTTGGAATAAACATATTTCTTAAAACAAGCGATCCTGATTGAGAAGCAAAACGAAGAGCGAACGACATGATAAAACAGGAAAAAAGAAAAAGTTTAAATTCAAAAAGATAATTATTTTATAAGCTTTAACTTGTAATTGTATATATGTTTTTAGCCCTTAGACTAACAGCTCTAAGCCTCCTTGTTACATAAATGACGGTAGGTTACGCGCAAGTCGCTTGTCCTCTGTGACCTTCCCTAACCAAATATTGGGGGCTGTTTGGAAATTGCATGAAAAATATTCGAATATAAGTGAATGACATATCCTTAATCAATAACTGTTTATTTTTATTTGAAATAAATATTTTTATTAAACATACATGTTCATGTTGAAAGGAGATTAAGTTTTGGTTATATGTGCATAGATATTTAGCGTTACACAAAACATCTTTATGACTATTATTTCGTTTGTGGTGCAAAACATAACTGCTGTAATAATTAAGTTTACACCTGAAAGAGAAAGGTCCATCTTTCGAACGCAACCGAGCTCTGGGGTTTTATCCTTTTATATTAAGACTTCTTAATCGTACGTGTTTTTCTGACATCATACTGTAATAATCAAATAGGGACTGTTATTGAATTGCGTTACAATGAAGGATGAGTGGTAAAATTTTTACAAGTGTAAGTAATTATGTCGAATTGACCTATTTCATGTGAAATTAATGTATGTAATTTTTATAACTATGCAATTTCCAAAACTAAGAAATACTATAATTTAGAAATTATTTCTATACTAGTTTATAATAATATAGTAGAGATGGCCGATATGGGTATAAACATTTAATTTCAAAACACAAATAACTAACAACGTTTCGACGTCACTATGTCATCATCAAGTTAAGAAGGAGGTTTGAATAAGTGGCCGTTATTGATCACGTCCTGTGGAGAAGACAGTAATAATATGTAAATTTGATTACGAGGAACCCCCTTTATAGAAAATAAAAGCTTGGAGACGGCTTGACTGGATAATGAAGGAAACGTTATAATAAATGTAGATATATACATATGTATATACACAGTAAGGAATAAAGAAGTTACATGATGGGTGACTGTTTCACAGCCTATTATAGATACCTTGGTACTTTCGGGTGTTGGTTTAGGGTGAAGAAATTAACTCTATAAATCGTTCCTTCATTCAAACTATCAAATTTCCACACAACCACAAGGACAGAAACCCAAAACTCAATTCACAAATAAAATTTACACTAATACACCAAACTACAACACAACATTACCCTGCAGTTTACCATTTATCCCTGTTATCAGTTCAAAAATAATCAACACTTGGAGAAAAGTTGTAAACAAACATAAAATTCCTGTTGACTTCAAATTTACCTCCAACCCGACCCTAAACTAAAATCACTACGAAATAATAATTACATACAATCACACAATACCAACGTCATTTATAAAATATAGTGCAATAACTGTGCAGAATTCTATATCGGAGATACTGGAAGAAAATTGGAAACCAGATTCAGCCAACATAATGAAAATTCCTCCCATGTTTACCACCATTGCAGCAACAACAACAAAAAACGACGCAATAAAATATATATATATATATACAAAACACTATACTTTGAAACAAAGAACCAAACATCAATAAACGCAGAATAAAGGAAGATATCTTAAATGAACAAAACAGCACCACCCTAAACCAACACCCCAGGGTACCAAAATACTATACTCGACTGTGAAACAATATTCGGTTATGTGACCTCTCTGTTCCATACTGTATATCAAAATTCATGTGTATGAGTAAACTACTTGTACCTGATGATGACATAATATTGTCAAAAGTCGTACATTTATAATAAAGTTTACTTTATTACCCAATAAAACTGTCTCCAAACTTTTATTTAGTAATGATGTGTGTAAGATTGTAGTGGGTGTGTGGTAACTCTCGAAAAAGTGATTTTATTGTCTGAAAAACAGTGCTTATATACAGTACCTGCATAGAAGGCGTGCCAACGTAAAGTTTTGCAAATTAGATATTGCCGAGGGCAGTCAAATGGGGTATATAAAGACTGGAGCAAGCGAACACAATGTTAGATGGCAAAGATGTCATAATCAGGTACAAAACCTTGTCCATTTACTGTTATGTTAAACTTATATTAAAGTTTTTCTTCATTATCCATTCAAGCCGTCTCCAACCATTATTAGTCTCAAAGTGGGTTCCTCGTCATCGCATCGTACCTTGTACTAAGTTCTTAGTAGGTAAAGATTAATGTTTCTTGTACTACAGTATTGATTCTATTGACAATAAAGATATTGTTACTTCTGTGTTCGTTTGTTAATTTTTCGTAGAAATTCTTTACGAGAAATTTCAGCGATACAAGTCTTTTCTTAAATAAAACTAGTTTATTCTTTTTCAATTCAACTTTGCAATACACTTAATTTCCACAGTCACTTTCACTTAAACACATACTATAATTCACAATGAACGATTCACGCACTTTAGTAACGGTGCCTACAGCCCTCTTGACTCAACTATCCGTGTCTCTATTTTCAATCTCTCTATCTGCTACTCCAGTTCCGATTAATTGTCTCCTTTATCTGGCACGCTTATATACAACAAAATCTCGTAATTTTACGGGACGTATCTTCTTCTGTACTGGTCTCCATCTCGTTGGCTTCTGCTTCACGTGGGGTTAATCTGCTCCACCAGGAAATGTTCTATTATCGGTAATAGTCACATCAGTGGTAGTAACTTCATCAAGGGCTTCACTATTTCCCTTCTCAAAACCGAGTACAGTTTCTTCTTTGAAAGTGGCTTTTCAGGTGACACGTCTTCAGGGGCGTCTTTTGTTCCGTTATTCACTTCATCCCAATTGAAATGACCTGGACCGTGAAAATTGCAAAGCCTGTTGACATGCACCACCTTTGGCTTACCACATTTTATTCGGAAAATCACGTCTGAGAGACGATCCACTATGTCATATGGGCCTTCCCATGGAGAAGACAACTTAGGAGACTTCCCTTTGGTCCTCCTGGGATTATACAATCACACCTTGTCTCCTGGTACAAAGCTGACTTCAGTAGATCTCTTATTATAACATAGCTTCATGGAATCAGCAGACGTTTTCAAGTTTGAACGCACTTGATGGTGAATATCATCCATCTTTTCCGATAATACTTTCACAAACTCT